ATATGGCGTCGTAAACAATGTTTTAGCCTTAGCAACGTGCTAATTTGCCTTATCTGTCATCGACCTTACAAGGATCTTATATCTGATGTGTCTGTAGGAGGCTTTTTACTGCCATAGAAATGATTTAGAAATATCACACAATCGTACTTAATTTGGGGAAGCAGAATGTAAGCGAATTTTGCTATAATTTGCCCTGGCTTACTTGAAACTCTTAACGCGTTATCGCGTGTCAGGTTGTGAAAATTGCAATATTTCTGTCAACAACGGAAAGTATCGCGTCGGATTTCAGCCCTGTGATTATACATATTTCCAAAAAAGCGCTCTTAGATACCAACTTTGGCCTTCGATTTCTCGGCTTATATTTAATGAAAATGCGTCATTTTTGGAGTTTGAGTTCAGGTTGAGAGTTTTTCAAATAAGCAGTTTTATAAGCATGATCATTTTTTTTACTTTATAGCAGCGCTAATACCTTAAAGTCTCATGTCTTATAGCTCAGGCACAGTGCCTTACTAATTGGCGAGACTAGTGATTTACTCGCTAAAGGTTTTTTCTACTTTTTGTTTGTTTCTGAATTGACTTAGTAGGTGTGTTAGCGACGACCAAAAATACCTCTTCGGTAACAGGCTATACGCGTGTATAAATACACGAAAATTCAAGGGCCTCCATTCCAGAGAAATTACATCATTGCCAGATATCGAAAAAGTTATTTACATGGCACGTCATTTCAATCCTCGCCGAAAATAAATTGCATGCTCATCACAAGACTCATTTGCATACAGTGAAAGTTTACAACACCCGACCATCGCAATTTTGCTAATTAAGATTCTTATTTTTTTCGACCACTCAGTGGTCACTTGCTCCAAAGTAATCAACGCTTTCAAGCGATAGAACTCGTGGACCGACACATTTCGGAAAAGCTCTAAATTTAATCTTTCCTAAGCTTTCTTCGCAAAACATGCGTGGCTTCAATTACGGCAACGATTCTTAGCCCCAGTTTCCACGGTGTCCGCAAGGTGCTACTGGCATAATGACCCCCATTTCTGACCCAAAAACGACAAAAATGCCCGGACGAGTACTTCCAGAAAAATTGGGTGGAGATGTGCAGCACGCTTGCTGAAACCCTTACCCTATTTCAGACCAAAATCTGTGATTTTTCCCTACCCTATTTCAGACGTGATCAAAGATTTGATACCCTAATTCAGAGCTGAAGCCCTGGAGCCCGGTGCGTGACCGGAGCGCGTGACAAGCTGTTACGGCACGTACACGGTAGTTGGCGTAAACATTAAAAAGGAAATGGTCGCCAAATGATGAAGAAGTAGCTAATTCTTCCAAAACACATACCCAATTCAAGACTAGAGGACACAAACCATACCCTATTTTTAGACCAAAATGGTCGAAACTGATACCCTGTTTCAGATCAAAACGGCTGAAAAAAACATACCCTTTGGTGCCGCACATATCCATATAGCCTATATAAGGGACTACCCCCTTCCCCCCCACCCCGGGGCGAAAAACGCGTCGCAGATTATGAGTCTCGCTGCTTACGCAAGCGAGACTAATAAAGCAAATCGTGAGAAGATATGAACAACCATCTGAATTTTCTGGATTTCCATGGCACATATTAAGGCATATTTTCCTACTATAAGACCATAAAACAATAAAAAAGACAGCAAAATCGATCCTTCTCTCCGCCGACGGCTGATCATTCACGAAAACAACCACGTGAGGAATAAGCGCTTTCAACTTCCGTTGATTCCAACAGCTACTCAGATCTTGTGGCATTGTTCTAACAGCCAATCAGCGTTCAGGCCAAAATCTGGGCGCAGAGACCACAAACTTTTGAGAGTTTGTATCAGGCCCAATTTTAGCGGTAGCCGTTAGAGAGAATGTATGAGAACTGCTAGAATTGGGCCTGATCTCAGGTTACGATAATTTGGACAAGCAAAAAACCCAACCAAAAACCCAATAAACAAACCAGCCATGAATAACGGAACAGTCGTGAGAGTAGCTGTATTTCATTTTGTACGTCCAGTGGAAAAAGACAGTTGAAAACGTAACATCGCAAGATGACGACACAAAACTCTGTCAGCTTCAGCTATTAGTAAACAAGTTTCCAGATGGTGCATAAATTTTCCGCATGAACTCACCTCTCAAATTTTGACCAATCAGAGCATAAAAATTGGACGTAGAGCGTGACCAACGCGTGACCATGGCGAGAAACTGCGTTCCCTGTCTGTAACAGCTGGCTGAATTTTGGCGTCCGAGGTCGGTTTGAAATCAAACTTTTAATAGTGCGGCTCATACATATACCTGGATTTTTGAAAACCGGGCTAGCAAAAATATCAACTCATTCTACTCCTTGGCAATTTCAAACAAAAAAACTAATTCAAAGGCCGATTAAAAGCCTTTACCTCACGCCGGGCTGTAAGTTAATGGTCCCTAGAAGCATTGTAACGAGTCCAAATTTAAAATGACGCAAATTTTAGAACATTTATTCAGT